CTCCATCGTACTCAGCACGTTGAACGGCTATAGAAACAGGTATAGACTCCTAAAATACGGACAAGTTGAAAAGGCAGTATTCGAATTTCTGAATTTTCGGATTTTACTTCAACGTACGAAAGTGAAATTATCTCGGGAACAAGGTCGAAATTCAAAAATCCGGCTCTAGCGTTCCCTCGGTAATTTGGCTGGCTTGACGAAACCCTTTGAATCCAGCCTTTTGATTTCGACCCTAAGGCCAGATCATTTTTGAAAAATTTTGGTGACAAAACTCCAAACCTTTAAAACCGTCAAAACTCGAAACTTTCTCATTAAAATTCAATCAAAAGTTACATATTCGGAATCTCCATGTCATTTTGGACATAGTCGTATCTTTTTCCCCGGTACTTTTAGTGCAACATGTGGAAGTTTTGAAAAAACGCCCACTTCCATGACCGAAAACACAGAAAAAGAGCGCGCGGAAGAGAGAGAGCGGGCAGAGAACCGCTTCCTTCTTCGTTTAGCGGGAGAGAAGAGAGAGAGTGGGAAAGCGGTGGAGGGTGGTTAGAGAAATGTTTTCTCTTTCGATTTTGGTCAGAGATAAGACGGAGAGACTGGTGAGTGTGAGGAGGGTGGTATGGAAACGGTCATCGTGACGCGTCATGACGGGGTTTTCTGGATTTTTTCGAGAAATTTTTGTAAAAATATTTTTTTGCTCCTGGATTCTCAGGATTTGGCCGTTTTAGGGCCAAATTTGACGGGGAATCCGGGAAAAATGTTCGCTTAGGATACCTTTGAGCGCTGAGTCCATTTTTTAGTTGATTTGTGGTTACTGCAAGTGTTTTTGATCAACTTTTGGTGGAAGGGAAAATTTTTTAGGTAACAAAACACAGGCTCGCGGCGGCCGTAGGCCGTCGCCTCATGCCGGCGGGCTGTTTAACGGGGCTTAGCGATCTGGAACTGAGCTTAGCGATTAGGGTAAGCTTAGCGATCTTAACTTCTCGATCTAAAACAAGGTCGGCTTAGCGTTGTGAACACCACAAGCTTCTACTAGGCTCAGTCTAACGCGTAGCGTTTTTCTGCCGCGGCCGGAGGCCGTCGGCAAAGCTTTGGCGAGCGTTTCTTCCGCAAAAGCGACTTTTCATCTCAATTTAGCTTCAAAAATGGCTCAAATCGCGCGCAAAGTTGCCTTTATGCGCAGGGCTGCCCGAGAGACGGTAGCAGCCGCAGGCTGCGTTAGTCTCGAGCCCTAGTCTAAAATATATCAATTCATAGGGTTTGTCCTTTGTTTTTTGTTTTGCTCCGATTGACTTGATTTTTGGCATGGGGGTTCCTTTAGCTGCTTTCTTTGAGAATTTGAAAAAAAATTTCAAAATTTTCAGTTTTGAGTGACCTATGACGTCATGAAAAGTCGAAACTTTGAGTCTCTGTATCTCGCTCCGTTTTACAGCTACCGACTTCAATTTTGGTTTCGTCGCGTATGGTACATAATGGGACAATCACTGTCGAGATTTTTTCGAAATTTCAAATTTTACGAAAAAAATCTCAAAAAAAGACCTTTTTTCGTATCTTTTTATTAGACCGGGGAATATTCAAATGCAAGCTTCTACAGGTCAATATCGGGAAAGCAAATTCATAACTAAGAGATATCTCAATGTATGTGTAGATACGGCCATGTACAACGTTACACTTCCAGAAAACCCCGTCATGATGACGCATTTTCTGGATTTTTTCGATTCCATTGAATTCTACGTACCAAACTTCCTATTAGGTCGTGTCTTTCGTTTTCGTAGTGCACTTCGTATTTTAGCCATGGCTTACTGTAGAAAACACGATTTGCACAGTGCAAATTTCAAAAAAATCGTTCTCGGCTCCCAGGTGGAAATTCAAAAAAATCTCTCGCAAATCCTAATTTTTTTGGCCAAAGATTGTCCCTAAATTTTTTCAGAACATTCTACGTAGCCATCTCCTCAAACAAATCTCCGGACGGAAAACGCAATTTTTCGAAATTTTCAAAATTTTGACTTTTTCAAATTTTCCTCCTTGATGTACAACAACGACGTCAAAAACGTCCAACTATAGATTGTAGAGCTCGAAGAGCTCTACAAATTACCCGCTTACATCTTCAGCTTATCTTTAAAATTACGGCCGTCAGAGCGGCCGGAAATTTTGGCCGATTTTTGGTGCACTGTGCGAAAAAAATTGCCCTCAGGGCATTGCGCGGAGTTGACAAAATTGATCATACGGGTGCTATAGGACACAGAATCAACTACCAGCGTGCCAAGTTTCAGTTTTCTACCTGCAATATTCCGTGCGCACTGTGTCTCCGAAAAAAAAGTTCGAAATTTCGGCCGAATTTCGGCCCTGAGGGCTTGAAACGGAATTTTTTCGGATTTTAATCTTCACCATAGTATTCAGTACATTGAACTGCTACAGAAACAGGTATCGATTCATAAAATACGGACAAGGTGAAAAGGCGGTATTCGAATTTCGGAATTTTCCGATTTTACTTCAACGTATGAAAGTGAAATTATCTCGAAAACAAGGTCGAAATTCAAAAATCCGGCTCTCGCGTTCCCTCGGTAATTTGGCTGGCTTGACGAAACCCTTTGAATCTAGCCTTTTGATTTCGACCCTAAGGCCAGATCATCTTTGAAAAATTTTGGTGACAAAACTAAAAACTTTTAAAACCGTCAAAACTCGAAAATTTCCAATTAAAAGTCGTCTAAAAGTTACATATTCGGAATCTCCATATAATTTCGGACATAGTCGTATCTTTTTCCCCGGTGCTTTTAGTGCAACAAGTGCCAGTTTTGAAAAAACGCCCACTTCCACGGACGAAAACACAAAAAAAGAGCGCGGGGAAGAGAGAGAGTGGGCAGAGAACCGCTTCCCTCTTCGTTTGGCGGGAGAAAAGAGAGAGTGGGAAAGGGTTGGAGGGTGGTGAGAGAAATGTTTTCTCTTTCGATTCCGGTTAGAGATAAGGCGAAGAGAGTGCTGAGTGTGAGGAGGGCGGTACGGAAATTGTCATCGTGACGCGTAATGACGGGGATTTCTGGATTTTCTTGAGAAATTTTTGTAAAATTATTTTTTTGGTCCTGGATTCTCGGGATTTGGCCGTTTTAGGGCCAAATTTGACGGGGAGTTCGGGAAAAATATTGGATTTGGATAATTTTGAGTGCTGAGTCTATTTTTTCGAGTTTTTTAGTTGATTTTTGCTTATTTTATGTGCCTTTGATCAGCTTTTGGTGGAAGAAAAATTATTGTAGGTAACAAAATGTAGTCTCGCGGCGGCCGTAGGCCGTCGCCTCATGCCGGCGGGCTCTTTAGCCGGGCTTAGCGATCTGGGACTGACCTGAGCTTAGCGATTAGGGTAGCGATATTAACTGTTCGATCTAAAACAAGGTCGGCTGAGCGTTCCGAACGCCACAAGTTTCTACTAGGCTCAGTCTAACGCGTAGCGTTTTTCTGCCGCGGCCGGATGCCGTCGGCAAAGCTTTGGCGAGCGTTTGTGCTGTTTTCGACGTTGAACAGGTCCAAATCGCACGCAAAGTTGCCTTTATGCGCAGGGCTGCCCGAGAGACGGTAGCAGCCGCAGGCTGCGTTAGTCTCGAGCCCTAGTCCTAAATTGATATTCTCAGAACGTGTCTGTTATAGAGAATTTTTGTTATATATGGCCAGGCTTCTACTGTAAGTTTCTACTGCTAACTAAAACCATTGTGTTCAAGAAGCCTTAAGATTCCTTTAAGACCAACCAAGCCCGTCGGAAATGATCTTCTAGGCCAGAGAAAGCATTTTTCAACTACAAATAGTGTATCAGTAAAGTAGTAAAGTTGTCTCAACCATTTAAACCGATCATAACGCATTTTTACTATAAATTTCCCACTGATTTATTTCGCAAACCCCCGCATATTTTTAGCTTACATTCTACTTGTTTTTTCAAATTATATCATCAAGGACGATACGTTTTCACCACGTTTCTGCTCGCCCAAAACACGCCACAGTTCTTTGCGCTCACCCTTATTCTTTGTGCTTTATGATACTGTCTTCTCAAGCGTTTTTTTCACGCCTTTGTCGGATGGCTTTTTATTTAATTTTACACTAAGATCGACCGGTGTTACGCACTGTCACGGGAGCACGTGCACCGAGTTCAGAGTACAGTCTTGTTCGAACCTTGAGGGCAAAAATGTGATGTGCGAATTTTGAAGGGCCTTGCAGGGAAGTGATTTATATTTTTTTTTTATTTTTGGGTCTGTTTTGGACCGAGTTTTATTATTAATAATTACAAAAAAAATTAGCTTGCAATTTACAGTGGAAGCCTTTACAAGAAGATATCATTCTGAAACGGTTTCCGGCCATAATTTTTTTATGTATCACTTTTATTTTATTTATTTTTTTTATATTTTTTATTTTTTTTTGTGAAGATTTTGCGTGAGATATATGAAATTTAAAAAAAAAGTAAAAAAAAAATATTTTTGGGTTTACATTTCGTCAAGAAATGAGTAATATTAATCATGCTTTTTATAATATCAAAAAATTGTTTCTTATTCATTAAATTTTGTCATGTATTGTTCAAAATCTTATAATGATTTTTTTTTTATTTTATTTTTTATTTTAGTAACTTTGCGTGAAATTATGACAAATGTTGCGTTTAGAAACAAAAAAAAATATTAATTTTTAAACTTTTTAATTAAAAAAATAAATTTTTAAATTTTTAAAAAAATCACAAAAAAAATCAAAGAAATTCAAAGTTAATCATTGCCCATTTCCTTGTTTTTTCTCAAATTTTAATTTTATTTTATTTAAAAATTGCAAAAAAAATTTTTTTTATAAAAAAAATATTTTTTTTATTTTTAAAATTTTTGAATTTTGAAATAAAAACGCGATTTTTTTTTGGCGTGTCGCATTTTTTTCAAAACCAAACTTATTTAACCAGTTTATTTTTCAGACTATTATAAGCTTTTTATATGCACATCCTACAGTTTTCGTAATTTTTTTCGCCCCGAGGAAGCATTGCCTTAATGAGACGTAAGTTTTTTTTATTTTTTATTGAAAACCTCTATATTGCAAACAAAAAGCTTTTTTTTTTGATTTTTTTAGCAAAAAACTTTAATATTTTTTCAACTTTGTCATAATTTTGATCTTTAGTGTTATACCTTGCCTGTTGGAGTGGACTTCTTTTCGCACAAAGAAGCTTATTGGCCATGGGGATCGGCAGCAAAGAGATTGAGCGGCTAAAAAATCCATTGGAGAGCCTCTGGAAACGATCTGTAAATAGGTGGGTTTACTGTAACAGGGTCAAAATTACAGTGTTCATAGCAAAAAAAATTTATTTTTTTTTTATTTTTAGAAATGAAAAAAAATATAAAAATGATTTTTTTTTTATTTTTTCGTATTTTAGAAACCCTGAATTCCACACAAGGACCAATCACAACCGACACCGCGGGAAACGCCATCACAGAGACGAACGCATTCTTTACATCATAAAGAAGAAGCCCTTGGGACGGAAGCGCCGGTCCATCTCGGATGCGGTCATTGAAACTGGTGAGTTTACAGCTAACAAGGGAAGTACCACAAGTGCGACTCTCAGATTTTCTTTAAATTTTGCACACACGTCGGGAATGGACCAAATATCAATTCCTGAAAGTTTTAGCTCGCGCTTTGCAGGCGCCGCCGAGATATCGGACCATTTTTGCCGCCGAGAGAGCACGCTCAACGTGGAGAGCGGTCCGAGAGAAAAGCGCTTTTTGACCATAAATTTGGCAGTTTCGTGCGGAAAAAAATCGATTTTTTGTAGAAACATTACCCTCTATGGTAGAAATAGGCATAAAACTTTTCGTGCCGAAATTCGGCAAAAAGTGTAAAATTTTCGCCAACTTTCGAACTAAAAATATCGGTTGTCTCTGCAAAGCGCGAGCTAGAATACTCGCATATATTAAAAAAAATACTCTAAATTTGTACCAAGTTTCATGAGAAGTCTAAACGGTTCAGGAAATGCGCTGAATTGACGTTTAAAAATGTAATATAAAGAAGGCGTGTAACACCCTCAAAAGGGCAGATAAGCCTTTTAAAATGGCGAATAAAAAGATTACTGTACATACATTTTTTTTTGAAATACATTTTTGTAATTTCTTGAGCCATTTTGAGATGAAATTTTTCAGCGCAACCCTTTGATTATGACCCAGCGAGGGAAAAAAATTTGATCAAGAATTTTTTTCAGTCTGTCGGGAAAATAATAAACGCCATGTCACCTAGCGTCGCTGAAGTGAAAAGCAATTTGACTTTGCCGCATCACAATTCATTTCCTCGGCGTCGATGCGATTTTTTGTGCTACAGAGGGCTCATTATTTTCCCGACAGACTGATAAAGTATATAGGGTACTAAATTCTGACAGGGGAAGTACTCCAAGTGCGACGCCCAGATTTTGATGAAACTTGGCACAAATTTAGAACATTTTTTTCTAAGGCATATGCGAAAATCCCAACTCGCGCTTTGCAAGAAACAACCGAGATTTTTAGATCAAAAGTCGGCCAAAAATTAGGACTTTCTGCCGAATTTCGGCACGAAAACTTTCATGCCTATTTCTACCGTAAAGGATAATGTTTCTACAAAAAATCAAAATTTTCCGCACGAAACTGCCAAAGTTATGGCCAAAAAAGGTGTTTTCTCTCTGACCGCTCTCCACGTTGAGCGTGCTCTCTCGGCGGCAAAAATCGTTCGATATCTCGGCGGCGCCCGCAAAGTGCGAGCTAAAACTTTCAGGAATGATATTTAGTCCATCCCCGAAGTGTGTGCAAAATTTAAAGAAAATCGGAGCGTCCCACTTGGAGTACTTCCCCTGTAAAAAAAATATTTTTTTTTTTGATTTTTACCAATGTTTCATATCTCTTTTGCTTGATTTATTTTTCATTTTTTTATTTTTCATTATTTTCAGCCCGTTGCGAGCACATCGAGCTCGTCGACTGCGAGGCCTACGACTCGGACGAGATGACCTGCATGATCACCGCCACCGGAATGCCCTGCTGCATTTGCAACGGCAAGCTGAAGTCGTTGAAGGCGCGCCGACAGAATTGGAGTCTCTGGTAGAATATGCACACGATCACTCAACAAAAAAAAACAACACACCGCTCTTTCGCAAGTTCCTTATCAAACTGATCTCAAACTGGTACTAATAACTTGTTGTCCATGTATAATACGTTGTAATAATAAACCTGTTGTATATATCAGGGTGTGTTTTGCTATGAGTTATATCATCTCTAAGAATAATAAAAACCACTCCTTTACGCTCGAAAATGCAGCTCAGATGTTCAACGACGCTTGGTAGATTGAGGATGAACGCGTACAATATGAAAAACGACCGAATTGTTCGGTCGTTTTTCCGAACCATTGGACACCGCTCTTCTTTTCCGAGGGAAGAGGAAGAGGAATTTTTATGGAACTTTCGGTCGATTTTTCTCGTCGGCTAGGCTTATTTCGCAGCTGGAAAATAGCTCTTTTTACCAAAGTTGACCTGCTCTATCCAACTGTACTAGTCATTTTCCCAAACGCTGGAGGAAGTTCAGATCATACCCTCGTAAGGAAAGACTCATCTACAGGGGAAAACTCCAAGTTCGATGCTCAGATCCAGGCAAAACTTGGCACAAATTAGACTAGTTGTTTCTAAGCCAGAAAAACAAGACTCCTTCAGTGACGGAACTGGCAAAAAAGTGGCAAACAGCCTATCACTTTGCATTCATGAAGTATCAAAAAATGTAGCAAAATGCCCCCACCAACCAAAAAACTTCGTTTTGTATGTCTCAAAAAAAAGCAGGCGCACTTTAGAAATTGGAGTTTTTTCACTTGGAGAGGGCTGTGTTTTGCTATGTTTTTGATACTTCCAGGATGCAAAATGGTATATTTTTTTGCCACTGGATCAGGTCCGCCACTGTAGCTCGTGCAACGGTCGATATCTTCAGGTCAAAGCTGACGGTGAGCAAAATTTTACATTTTTTGCGAACCTTGGCATGACAATGTTTCATGTCCCTTTCTCCCGTAGAATGTAGTATTTACACATAAAATCAATCCTTTCCAAGCAGGACAGGCAAGATTGTTGATATTGTGAGGACGAAACGTCTTAATGGTTCAGTCAGTGAGCCGGATTACCGTGCCTCCCTTTGGCAGCATCTCCAGACTTCCACGCGGACACGCGTTCTCCACTCAAGAATGTTTCTCTGGTTTGTAGTTGCAAAAAACGAAAAATAAGCCGTGAACCTTTTTAAACATCATGTTGTACCTGTTTGTTACACTTAAAATTTTAGAAGCATATTGTACTCACAGTACAATGAGGCGCAAAGATGCCAAATGTTGTTTTCGTTGAATCCTTTGGACCAAAAATTTCTGTCATTGCTTTTGTGTTGTTAATGCGAGATGTGCAGAGATCTCAGCCTGTCAGAAAAATAGTTTGTAAGTTTGTGTGAGGCGGAACGACCAAGCTTGGAGGATTTTTCCACGAGGAACTGTCTTCAATTATTCAAATTTTATTGTACTTTCCTACATGGGGCTCTCCTATAAAAGTGCCTTCTTTCTACCGACAGGGGAAGTACTCTAAGTGCAACGCTCAGATTTCGATGAAATTTGGCACAAATTTAGAATAATTTTTTCTAAAATATTTGATAGAATCCTGGCCCGCGCTTTGTAGAAACAACCGAGATTTTTAGATCGAAAGTCGGCCAAAATTAAGGACTTTTTGCCGAATTTTGGCACGAAAAGTTTCATGCCTATTTCTACCGTAAAGGATAATGTTTCTACAAAAAATGAAATTTTTCCGCACGAAACTATTAAAGTTATGGCCAAAAAGCGCCTTTCTCTCTGACCGCTCTCCACGTTTAGCGTGCTCTCTCGGAGGCAAAAATCGTTCGATATCTTGGCGGCGCCCGCAAAGCGCGAGCTAAAACTTTCAGGAATTGATATTTAGTCCATACCCGACGTGTTTCCAAATTTTAAAGAAAATGTTAGCGTCGTACTTGGGGTAATTCCCTTGTGAGGAAACCACTTGATTCTCGAGAACTTGGCTTGATCGGTTACTGTTGTCAGGCCTTTCTACAATGTGTTAAAAAAGTCGCATCTGAATTTGTATGAAGCTGCTGGCTTCCTTCTCCGAAGCCATTTTCTAAACCCATCTCAATGATGATGTAAAATGTTATCTGCAACGAGTGTTTTGTAGCGCCAAGTCAGAGCTCACCGCCCCACCCCCAGATCCATATGAAAATCACAGGGAACACGTGGACGTTGCAACATGGGCGAGTTTACAAACAGAAAGGTGGAATGATCAAGATTGTCTTCGCGATGCTGTTGAATTGATCTCTTGAGCGCTCTTTATGCGAAAACAACAGGAAAAACGCGTGTTGTTGTGGCTGCATCAGGGAATAAAGAGTAGAAAATCGACGGACTTGGGAGCGGAGAAACTTTGCCCGACCCGGGTTCAGTATTTGTAGTTTCGAAGGGGCAATGTACAGTGCTGTAAAGGGTTGAAAAATAAAGGAGAATAGTAAACCAAGTCAACGCCTGTTGTTGACGCGGAACTAACCGCCCAAAGGTCAGTCAAAGTCAGCGAAGTTTGCGACTATCAAGGGAATGGTGTGACGCCAGATTTTTGTTAAACTTTGCACACACATCGGTCATAGGTCATATCAGAATTCGTAAAAGTTTCAGCTCGTGCTTTGCAGGACCAGCCGAGATATTCAACGATCCTTGGGTAGACATAGCTCTGGTGCCTGGTTGGGCCCGAAATCGGCTTTCGGCACAGAAAAGTTGGGCTCTGCCCCGGTCCGCTTCAAATTCGCTTGGCCCACCCTAGAGAGCCATATTTGACCGAGAGTGTTCGAAAAAGCGGAGTGCGATCAGAAAGAAAAACACTTTTCGATCATAATCTTGCCAGTTCCGCATAGAAAAACTTGATTTTTTGTGGAAGCATTATTCTCAACAGTAGAAATTTCTATGAAACTTTTCATGGCAAAATTCGCCAAAAAGGGGCCCATTTTTGCCGACTTTCGATATAAAGATTTCGGTAGTTTCTGCAAAGCAAAAAAAAAAAAACGGGTATATTCACCACGCGGGAATATACCCGGGTATATTCCCGGGTATATACCCGAAATCTCGGGTATATTCGGGTATTTATAAAATTAGCCTAAATTAGTCCAATATAGTACCAATATGAAGTCGTTAATGAATAAGTGGCAACTTATTCAATAACCTAATCATGTTTGGAGTGATGTTCCTTATTTTCCCAGCTACAACAAACAAAACTAGTATTTTAACAATCAAAAAGTTTAGCAATCCAATATTTGGCAGTCAGATTTTGAATTTTTCCCGTTTATTTTCCGACTCCGGCCAAGTAAATTCCAGCCTTACAACCAAGTTTTGAGAGGCATAAAACAAATTATGACAAAATGTCAACATTTATTGATTTTTTATGACAAAACTCGATTTTTTTTACATTTTTTGAATGCAAAAGTAATTTGAATATACCCATAAATACCCGAAAATTCCTGGCCTCTCGGGTATTTGGGTATATACCCCGTCCGAACCCTACTGAAAACGCGATTAGAGGCTCGGCGGACGGTCGGCGAAGGCTCGGCGGAGACTTGGCGAAGACTTTCGATAAGGCCACTTTCCTTTTCTTACCTATTTCAAATGAAGGTTTATCAGAACGGAAATTCACAAATTCCGCAGAATATTTAATACATAACATTGTAAAACTACAAACTTTGAGTATTTGTCATCCCACCAAAAAGAACGTGTACTCAATTTGGAGGGGCTTTAACAAGATAACAAGCGTTTTCATTCCGGTGCACATCATGTTTATCCGAATAATGCAAAGAAGTGACATGTCCATTCAGCCATCCATAAATTCGACGAGTATTTATGCAAAGTGAGCCGGTGCAAATGACTTGTGACCTCTGTAGCCAAGACAATTTTTTTTGCTTTTTTTGTTTTGCAGAAACTGCAGAGAGTTTTGCGTTAACGGTGGGTTTGTAAGTTTGACACTAAAAAATTCACCTGACTTGTAATGTAAAAGTTGCCGATGGTGCTACAAAATCAAATCATTTTTTTTTTACAAAAGATTGCCAGAAGTCGTTGCGGCAGAACTCTCCTCCTTTTCTGAACGGGGGAGAGTTCAGGCTCAACCTCCAGAAGTATCGCCGAAAACGGCTTTTTATTCTGGCCGCTCTTCGAAACTTTGCGCTCTCCTTTGTTGTAAAAGATCGCTGCAGAACTCGGCTGTAAGGAGCTTAAAATTTCAATGATTGATTTTAAAGGTGTCGCAGCGAAACCCGCATCGCCGAAAATTAATTGTGTCGTTGCAAAATCAAATTGCTTTTCACTTCAGCGACCCGCTTAGCGCAGCGACATTGGGCTCATTATTTTCCCGACAGACTGATAGTAAATCTGAGTTCGCTCCGAATCTTAATAAGCGAACTGCTCTTATAAGCCTACGGTCTTGCTTTGCCATAGGGCATCTCGACAGTCTTGCATTTCAATTGTCTTGAATTGAACACTGTTATTTAAAAATCTTTGTCTTTTGGCTCTCCTGGCACTATCGGTCCATGATCTTCTTGCTTATTCCAAAACCGTCTCAAATTCCACAGAACGAAACCTTTTACTCACCAAAGCAGATTCTATTACCCACTCCTCCCTCACACTCTGTTCATGTGTAAAATCTGTGCCATAAGTTTGTCATCCCACTAGCAATAAGCTATTTACAGTGTTTTTGAACCCTCGCGGCCACGGATCCCAAAAATAGAGACCGTAGGGCACAACTATGAGCCTGAGAAAAGATCCGCAAAATAAAAAAACGAGCCGGCAAAGAAACAGTAATGTCACTTCTTTTTTATTTTCTCACCCCCGCTAATGAGCCGTTGAACATACAAACCGTAATGGCGTTGGGCCAAATCTCGCGGAACAAATTCAATTTCTCCATCGTCAGTCGTCTTGTGTTGCCGCTATATAAACTGTCTTCTGGTAGTCAAAAAAGTGACAGCATTTTTTTTTTAAGATGTCTAAAAATAACGAAAGTTTTTTTCGAAAAAACTCAGTAGTTTTTTGAG